TGGCAGTAAAGATGGCTGCCGCAGCACTGTGTTTATGGCAGTAAAGATGGCTGCCGCAGCACTGTGTTTATGGCAGTAAAGATGGCCGCCGTCTCTGGTTGTGCATGGCCAGCAGATGGTAAACCTGGCTCAGAATCATTGTCTCCATGTTGCTGATCTTCTCCCAGGTCCTTTGCCGCGGCGCTGAACACCATCCTGTGGTGGTCCAACGACACCGTGCTGGAGGCTGCCAGGGTAACGATCAGAACCTCAAGAACCTCCAGTTCGGTCCGATCTGGCCCATAACCTGTCTGTCCTCCCCTTCAGGTTTTCTACAGCGCCAACCACGTCTCCACCTTCAGCCTGGTGCCCGAGTCGGCCGACATATGGGCCGAGGCCATACAGAAAAGGCTGCTGGGATACCAGGAGCAGGGCAAGAAGTTCCTGATCATGAGCAAAGACGGTACGATATCTGCTCACTGTTAGACCCTACCTGTCCAGGTCTCACCTGTCCTCACCTGTCCTCCTGTCCCAGAGGTGGTGAAGCAGCTGTCCAAGTTCAGGGAGATGCTGGACTCCCTGCCTGAGGTCCTGATCAGCCATCATGTAAGCCAGGAGGGGGTGTGGCTTACAGAGGAGCTGGCCTTGGTCAGGAAGAGGCTGGAGGAGGAGTTGGCGGCCGGCAAGGAGCAGAAGGTGAGACGCTCAGAGTCTCTGGTCCACCTGGACGGACGGAGGTCCCTGAAGCTGCTGTCCCTCCCCAGATGTCCAACCTGGGCCGGCTGCGGGTGTCCCTCAAGGAGGACGAGCTGAAGACGCTGGAGAGCAAGGAGGAGCGCCGGCAGCAGCAGCTGCACAGCGCCATCCTCAGGTCACACTTGGAGCTGCAGGTAGAAGGGGGCAGAGCCAGAGAGGTTACCCCACCTGCAGTCAAACGCTCACTGTGTGTGTGATGCAGGAGTGTGTGAGAGGAAGAGCCGAGCAGTTTGTGACGTCACTGGCATCTCTGACGGAGAAGCTGCTGCACCTGCTGGACGAGGTGCTGCCGGCTGCAGGTAAACCCCACTCACCTGGAACCAGTCCATTTACTCACCTGGAACCAGTCCACTCACCTGGAAACAGTCCATTTACTCACCTGGAACCAGGCCACTCACCTGGAACCAGTCCATTTACCCACCTGAAACCAGTCCACTCACCTGGAACCAGCCACTCACCTGGAACCAGTCCATTCACCTGGAACCAGCCACTCACCTGGAACCAGTCCATTTACTCACCTGGAACCAGTCCACTCACCTGGAACCAGTCCATTTACTCACCTGGAACCAGTCCATTCACCTGGAACCAGTCCATTTACTCACCTGGAACCAGTCCATTTACTCACCTGGAACTAGTCCACTCACCTGGAACCAGTCCACCCACATGTTGTCCCTGCTGACAGAGGGTTTTATCAGGTTTTATTGGTTTTTAACGGTTTTATCGGGTTTTTGATGGATGTGTTCTGTAGAAACGGATCCATTCAAGCCGCCTGAAGCTGAATCCCCGGAGGCAGAAGAAGAAACAGGAAGTGAGCCGATCAAAACCTGGTAAGGCGACGTTCCTGATAATTCAGACAGAACCGCGTTCCCCAGTAATCTGGGCTTGTGTGTGTGTGTGTGTTTAAGGACATGGCCAGGTATCACTCACCTGTTCTCATTGACCAGTGAGTCAGCAAAATCTCCCATCACCATGACAACAGCACCCATCAGTACAGTGAGGAACAGCCAGAAACATGAGGCGGTCATTGAGCGCAGAGACACTGCGTTAAAGGTGGCCACACACACACACACACACACACTCACGCACACACACACACACACACACACCTACTCATGTACACCTACACACGTTTGCGTGGCTATCTTTGTGGGGACTCTCCATTGACTTCCATTCATTTCTGCAGCCTAGCCCTTACCCCTATCCCAACCCTAACCAACCAAAACTCAATTCACACCTTAGTCCTAAATCTGACCCCTGACCCAAAAACAGTTTCCCCTTGTGAGAACCAGGCTTTGGGCCCCACAAGGAGCAGTGGGTCCCCACAACGTAGTGTCAGGAAAATGGTTCCCACAAGGCATTACAAACAAACACACACGCAGTAAGCACTGACTGATTGTGTGTGTGTGTGTGTGCGCCAGCGGTTTGAGCAGCTGATCCACTCGGAGGTGTCGCGTTCTGAAGCAGACAGATGGAACCAGCTGAGCGAGCAGCAGAACTGGATCTCCTACTGGGCCCAGCAGGTCTTCGCTCTGAGACAGACCCAGAGGAAGCAGCGCTGAGCCACAGCAGCTGATTGGCTGCTTAGCTCCTGTAGTTACCGTTTCCATCCAGCAGGTGGACGACCGTCCTCTGAACCCTCACACCAGCAGCTGGTTCGGTTGCCATGGCGTCCAGCTGATGTAATAAACATTTGCTGTTGCAGATCTGAACAGTGGTTGGTTCTGGTTCTGTAGGTTCACACCTTCACATACGAGTCTTCACACCTGCCTGTTAGAGCTTAGCCCCGCCCCCTGATACATTTAGACCAATTCCACCAAAGTGGGCGGAGTCCAGAGACACAGAGGGGCGTGGCCTCATGTGAGGATGAGTGAACTTATAAACTTTTTCTGCATTATTGGAGACGTTTATGAGGAAACCGGCTCCACTCCACGTTCACATTGCTGACGCTGACAAACTGCCAGACTGCAGGTGTGAATTAGCTGCTTTAATCTGATACATTTATGTTTGAGCTTCACATTGTCTTCTTTTAAATAAAGTTTATTGTTATTCTCTACCTCCTGACTCGCCACCAGGGGGCGCGTTTGAGTGAGATGGTTTTGTACCTGAACTGAGTGGTGAAGACATAAACCAAGCTGGAACCAACAGAAAAATCCACCTGCAGTACCACCGTTCAGCCCAAGGAGGGCAGCATTGAGACAGTCCAGCCAAATTTAAACACAATGTCACAAAAAACAAAGATGGCTCCCTGAAGGATCAATTTAACTGCGAAACAATCGTTAAACATCTGCTTGTTTTCCTAACTGATTTAGTTTTATTAACACAGGAGGTTCATGAACTGCAACCAGGTGAGAACCTGAAGGTTCTGGTCTGGAGGTCGGGTCCAATATTTAACCGAACAGGTTCAGTTTCAGAAATAAAACATTTATTTAACTGAAGAGAAACAGAAAATGCTTCAGAAGTTGTAAAAGAAGCGACGCTGTAGATCAGGAAACAGAAGTGTGTTGTGATGAATCGTCTTCAGAACGGAACCGGACCCTCATCAGAACCTGGTCTGCTGCTGGACCAGAACAGACCGACCTCAGTCCGACTCGCTGCCGGTGCTGTCCCCCACGTTACAGGCCACCGACTCTCCGCTGGGGAACTTTGACCTCAGGGCTCGCTTCCTGTTGTCATGGAAACCAGACAGGAGTCAGAGGCGCTGCGGTCAGGTGAGCGTGGAGAACAAGGCGGCGCTCACCTGAAGTTGGGTCGGCTCAACGTGAAGAATCCGCCGTCCGGCTGCTCGTCCTGCACAGAGGAGGCAAGAGTTCGGCTGAGACCCGGTCCGTTTCCACCGCGCTCCGGTTCCGGTGTTACAGCAACGTTACCCATGATGCAGCGTTGTTGGGCCTGTGCTCCGACTCTCTGGAGCCCCCTGCTGGAGAGCCGTGTTCCTGCGGCGGAGCGGCCGGCTCCTCGTTCTCCCCCGACGTCCCGCTGGGAACCTCCTCGCTGCTGCCTGGACCACCAGAACCAGAACCGGACAGTCAGAACACCGGAATGGACCGGGCCGCCTTTCACATCATCCTCGTGTCACACCTCGCTCTGCTCAGCAGTGGCAACGCCCCTCTAGCATAAAGGTAAGCCGTAAAGGGAGAGCGCCCCCTTTCTGCAGACGCTGTCAACAACTCTTCAGGTTTTCACCGACATTGTTGGTATTTTGTGGAAAATCATAAAAGTGTTTGTAATTCTGCACGGGTCAAAGTTTCTGACCTTTAGCGGCGCTCTCGTTCGCCTCGTCTTCCTCGCTGCTCAAGTTCCTCTCAAACTGTTGAGGAAAGTGGCATCATTACCTCATCATTACATCATCATTACATCATCGTTACATCATCATTACATCATCGTTACGTCATCATTACATCATCATTACATCATCATTCAATCAAATTTTATTTGTATAGCACATTTCAGCAGCAAGGCATTTCAAAGTGCTTCACATCATTAAAATAAAAACAGCCTGTGAGAAAGAGAAAGATTTTTAAAAAAAGATAAAAACATTAAAACCCCTTTTAGGACTTCGGTTAGATGTCGGTTAACTCTAACCCTCTGGGCCTTTAGTCAAAAACGGCGTTTGACAAGGACATTACATCATCATTACATCATCATTACATCATCATTGCATCATCATTACATCATCATTGCATCATCATTACATCATCATCCTCCCCCACCTGCTGGGAGTTGAAGGTCATCTTGCGGAGGCGTGTCCTCAGCTGCAGCTCCTCCCCCTGTGACCTCAGCAGCAGCAGCTCCAGCTTGTCTGTTTTCTCGGCCAGCTGCCGGACGCGCTCCCTGTAGCGGTCCTTCTCCTGCAGGTGGAGCCGCGCCTCCTCCTGCTGCTGCGCCTGCGCCACCAGAGCCTGGACACCACCCACAGTCAGTGACATCACCACTCTGCTCTTCATCCCCCCTCCTCCTCCTCACCTTGTCCCTCTCTCGGATCACCTCCTCCAGCTGCCGGACCGTCTGCTTGCTCTGCTGCCGGTACATCTTGGCGTCTCCTTTCAGCTGAGCGCAGCGGAGGCTCAGCTCCTCCTTCTCCTCCACGCTCTGAAACAAACACACGCTTCTGTCTGGGCCCTGAACGCATCACAGCTGGAAAAAACTGAACTTGCATGTGTCCATGAATGCGCCATGCACAAACGCCTCAGAGTTCAACATGAAACACTTTACTCCTGGAGAGAAACGCACCTGAACGCATCACCAAAGCTTCCCTGAATGCATCAGGTGCTTCTGATCCACAATAAGTTTTTACTTCACTAATCGATTATTCTGATAAGAAAATGATCACATCCTGCATTTAAACCTTTTTATACCATATTACAAATACATTAAAATGCAACTATTACTTTTCTAAATATAAAGATTTCATTTCCTTTGAGTGAATAATGTTGGTTTATGAACAAATAAACATCCAGATCTGATCTGATTAACTCATCAGGACAAAGTTTCTCCATCTTCACAGAAGGTGAAGCTAAAGAGTAAAAGATTTACAGACCGAAGATTTTCATCTGAATGCAAAATGTAATATGAAAACAGAGTCTGTATCAGTTAGTGGTTAATCGATCAGTTAATCGATTTATAATTAGTCAATAATGATTTCAATAATCGCTTCAAATCGGCAATTGAAGCGATTACTGGTGCGATCCGTTCTAGCCCACTCCAGTCCGGTCCGGTCTGGTCCAGTCCAGTCCAGTCCGGTCCGGTCCGGCCCGCTCCAGTCCAGTCCGGCCCAGTCCAGTCCGACCCGGTCTTCCTCCTGCCCCTCACCTTTGCCCTCTGCTCCTCGGCCTTGTGCAGCTCCCTCCTCAGTCTGAACACGGTGGTGAGGAGGTTCATCTGTGGAGACGCGCGGCCGTGCCGCTGGCCCTCCTTCAGCACCTCCTCCCTCCTGTCCAGCTTCTTCTCCTCCTGCGCCTCCTCCTCCTGCTGCTTCCCCTGAGGCGGCGCCTCCTGCTGCTCCTCCTGGTCGTTGAGTTGAAGAAAGGCGTCAGAGGGCGGAGTCAGGATTCTGCTCTGGAAGATCGGCTCACATGTTAGTCTGAGCTGCAGCTTCAGGGGAAAATCACAGAAACACAGTGATGTCATCAAACCATCATGGAGGATCACATGTTTTCTGCTATCTGTGAACTCTGACCCTGAACGCATCACACTACAGCCCAGCATGGTGGTGGCAGCATCATGGGACGTTGGATGGAGGCAGAAAGGCAGAAACTGGAGGAGTTCACGACCCGACGGGGAATTCTGACTGAAATATTTCATATTTATGACTGAAATATTTAATATTTATGACTGAAATATTTAATATTTATGACTGAAATACTTCAATAATTATGTTTTATAAATATTTCTCTAACTGCCTCACTCTGACCTGTGACCCCGTGACCCCTGTCCTCTGGTCGGTTCCTCGTTTTCACGGTGGAGGACAGACTCCAGCTACGTCCGGTCCAGTCAAAGTAACAGGTTCAGAGCTGGATTGTGCGTTTGGCATACAGTTAGCATAAGGTTAGCATATGGCTAGCGTACGGTTAGCATATGGCTAGTGTACGGTTAGCGTATCATTAGTGTACGGTTAGCGTACCTAACTGAGACCATTTGGTGGAAAATTCTAAAGTAATTTCAGCACAAACAGGAAGTGACCTGACCAAACTTCCTGTTTGATGTGGAAGCAGAAACACATCAGGAGGAAAACGGCAGAACTCGTGTGGAGACTCAGAGGTCAGAGGTCAGGGAGCGACAGATAGAAATATGAAACTAGATCAAAATGGAGGAGCAGATTTTCTGACTCTTCCTTCTACTTAGAAAACTTTCAGGCATCCAGAGTTTTTCCGACGGCTGGGATGAAAAATGAAAGTTTCCTTTCATTAGAACCAGTTCTGACCCAGAACCAGTTCTGACCCAGAACCGAACCGGTCCGGCTGATGAGCCTGTGAGTTTTGGCCCTCCTGGCTTCCCGTACTGCAGCAGCGGGTCGGTACCTGCTGCAGCGGCCTCATGGTCCTCCGTTTCAGCAGCCGCGTCTCGCTCTCCGCCCGCAGCACCGTGTGCTTCAGACGCTCCACCTGCACACAGAGGTCAGAGGTCAGCTGGGGCCGGTGCGCGGGTGGGCCGGGGTCAGAGGTCAGCTGACCTCTATCTGCAGGTCCCTGTTGGCCAGCAGGGCGTTGCTCTTGTCCTGCGTCAGGTTGGTGACGTCGGCCATCAGGTTGTAGTTGTGGAGGCGGAGCTTCTTCAGCTCCTCGGTCAGCTGCTCGCGCTCCTCACGCAGCTTCTGCACGCGCTCAGTCAGCTTCTTCAGCTCGCGCTCCTTCAGCTTCTGCTGCCGGGACCATGCCTCCTGCACCACACACACCTGGTTCAGCCACACACACACACACACACCTGGCCGCGGGTCGCCATGCCAACCTGTTCCTGCGCCACGGAGCAGGCCTGCTGGCGCCGCCTCCGCTCGTCCTGCAGCACCCTCTGCAGGCGGCTCAGCTCCGACATCAGGAACTGGGTCAGGCCCGACTCTCCCGCCGTGTCTGGACCAACAGAACAGAAGGCGTCAGAGCGGGCGGGTCCAAACGGGCCGGCTCAGGAACCAGACCCACCGATCAGGATGCTGAAGGTCTTGTTGGGCTCCTTCCCCGTGATGCGGCTGTACAGCTGGGGGTAGTCCAGCTCCAGGCTCTCCAGGAACGCCGTGTAGCCCTTCATCCCGGTCCGCTGCAGCATGTCCAGCAGGGCTCCTGCACACACCAGTCAGACCAGTCAGGTTACTGGAAACACACCAGTCAGACCAGTCAGGTTACTGGTGGCACCCCAGTCAGTCCGGTCAGGTTACTGGAAACACACCAGTCAGACCAGTCAGGTTACTGGGAACACACCAGTCAGACCAGTCAGGTTACTGGAAACACACCAGTCAGAGCCAAATGTACAAATTAAAACATATTTTGATGAAACAAAGTATAAAGTATAAATTTCTGCCTGAATCACAGATCCAGAGTTTATAGATGTTTACAGTTGAATGTTTTCTATGAATTCATCTTTCGATAATTTTCATCTGATCACAGCAGTTTAAACTTCACCAACTTCCTCCTGAATTCATTTTCCTCAGTTATCTAAAAGGTCAAAGGTCAGCTGCTGACTGGAGCTTTGTCAGCACAGAGGAACTGCAGGCAGGGACTTAAATACTTATTTTTCCACCACAGCTGATAAGGGAGAAAATATATAAGAAGAAAAAAATACAAAAAGTTTCTGAATCACCTCAATAAATCGGCATCAACATCGGTATCGGTATCGGTATCGGTATCGGCCCGATACGTAAAGCTGGGCTGGTATTAAAAACTCAGGTTTATTTCTATATTTTTGTGCTTCTAGAGTGGAGAAGGTTGTTCCTGTAGCTTTAGTTCGGTCATAGGACAGGTAAAGTGAAGCAGCAAAGGATTATGGGATACTTAACTGTAGGTGTGGCTGCTTTTATATTGTGGCAAAAGTTTAGCAAAACATGGACAATAAGCATAATATCGGTAAATATCGGTTCGATATCGGCCCAAATTTCCATATTGGTGCATCTCTAATTTGTTCTGCATCCAGGAGCCACAAAGATTATTTCCAGGGCCGCAAATGGACACCGCAACATTTATAAGTCTAAGTCCCAGAATACAATTTAATATGAATAAATGATTCTAAGAACATGCGTTGGGAAACTGCAGTCGTTGAACCAGAGGCTGGTATATTGACTGAATGAGAAAAGTCTCGTTTCTTCAGGCTGGACGGCAGCCAGTCCGACTCTGACTGAGCTGTGACGCTCAAGAAGAAGAAACAAACTCTGGATCAGTTTCTGTTTGAAGCAAAGGAACGTTATGATCAGGTGAAAGCTGCAGGAGCCGCAGGCCCAGCTGGTGAGCCAGGTCCCAGTGATGGAGGAGAAGGAGAAGTGAAAGTGAAGCAGGAAGCAGCTTCTGCAGCGTTACATCACATCGGTAAATTATATTCCAACAACTTCCACATTCATGATCACCTGATGCGATGCTTCAATATGACCGGACTCACTGTAAAACCCAAACTGTTCCCCTCCATCAATAATCCCACAGATTATTCATGCTGCTCAGCATAAAGGGCCTCAGACTGTCTGGTTCCAGGGGTTTGGCTGCAGCGTTCTCCGGTTCTGTCTTTTCCTTCACGGAAACGTTTCCACTTCATGTTAGATACACTATAAATTTAACTGGCAGCCAATCAGAAATATGAGCATAACAAATATAATTTCAATAAATTTAACAGATTTTAACTTAATGATTGAAAAGCAGATTAGATTTTATGATAAAACATATGATCACTGATCAATAAGGTGGAACATCTTTTCACCCAGTTAACATCTGAACTAAATCTTTAAAAGTCCAAACGATGAATCATGAATAACCAGTTATTGAAAAATAGTCAACTAATTTAGTAATCGATTATTAGTTATACAGACTCAACAAAAAATCCGGAGGCTGAAAGAACAGAGCAGGAATTAAACCAAACCTGAACGAAACATTTGCATTTAAGACAAACGAAACATTTTCTGTGACCATGTTCAAAACTCCTCCATGTGTTTCTGTTAAATAAAACAAAAGATTCTGCTGAACCCACCAAGATTCTAATTTTATTGATTAATCATCAGATTAATCAATAGATTAATTGATCGCTATGATAACTGTAGCTGCAGCCGTGTTTGAAAGGTTCTGACTCAGGTTCTGGTTCTGGTCTTACTGGACCCGAACTGTGAGAACGTACCGACTTTCCTCCGGCGGATGACCAGGGTGGGGTCGTTGAAGAGCTGCTCCTCATCCTCAGCGCTGATCACCTGCCAGCAACCAGAACAACGTCCAATCAGGACCGGGAGGAGCCCAGGGCGGGTCAGGAGGAAGAGGAGGAGGAGGAAGAGTACCTGGCACTGGCGGAGGTAAGGAGTGATTCTGGACGGGTCGATGGTTTTAATCAGCAGCATCCTGAAGTCATCCAGCTGCAGCCAGCAGAGATCATCCTCACTCACTCCCTCCATCCTGCTGTCCTAGTCAAAGTATCATGATCAGAGTACAGAGCGAGAGGGAGGAGGAGGAAGAGGAGAAGGAGGAAGGCCACCGGTTACCTGCTGAGCTCCAGCGCTGCTCCGTCTCTGTGATGCTCTGGGCTTCTGGAAAGATGTTGGTGGAACTTCTTGTTTCTTTGAAAGGCTCCGCCCCTTTCTGACTGAGAGCGATGTGATTGGTTCAAGCTCCTCCAATCAGATCACAGAGAAGCCTGAAGCTGTAGAGACTCTGCAGAGTCACTGCTCACAATTTGAGTCCTTTAAAAGATTCACATTTACTGTTTGGGAATCTTTAAAAGGTACAATCTGAGTTTATTAATCTGTTTGTTTCTTTATTTGTAGACACTATGAGTTAGTTGGTTTTGTTCAGTTCATTCAGACACAAAGAGGCCAATAGAGGAACCAGGGATGGATTAGAGAAGTTAGAACAGGAATAAGCTGCAGGCAACAGGAAGCACCAGCTGACAGATTCAGGAAGTCCTTTCACAGCTCATTCCTGAAAGTTATGACAGAAGTTATAGATGCAATCACAAAAATCACCAAGATGCTCTTTCCTGATACAAACCGCAGTGTACGGCAAGTCGATTGGGCCACAAATCACTGCATCTTGCCATACATGAAATGCCTTGGAGAGGCAAGTCGCTGTCATGCACATATATGTAGGAAAAAATCTAAATACAAGTGATGATAAAAATGTGTGTAGCTAAAAATAAATCTGATGAGTTGAAGGACATTAAGTAATTTATGGAGAAGGCAATATGATTTTCTCATTTCTAAAGGACAATAAAAAGTTACCAAAGTGTATTCTGTTTATATTTCACCCTCTATGGCATGGCGTTGCCCTCAGGCAACCAACCACATATCTGTACCTCATGTTGCTCCTTTATTTTATTTTTTTGGGGGGCGGGGGATGATTTAAAATACCTCCAGACATATTTTTGTCCACACAAAAGAGGTATTGAGGTACATGTGACCTTTACTTAGAAGAGGAGCAGTCCTTTTTATGAAGCAGAGGTGCATGCTACACCTTGCCTCCTACTTGTAAGTTATACATCACTTTTCTTCATGTTTAAATTTTGGGTAACTAAAAATATTTTTCATGTCTGTGAGTATGTAAAGAAGCATTGTAGATAATTTCAAGACAATTTTTTTTTATAATTTATTTGCTAAAACTGTGTTTTTTCTGTTTGTTGCCTCAGGGTAACATTGCGCAGTTATAGGGCCCTTTTGCTCAGACATTATTATTCTAGTGCGTTGAAATGCAGTTTATTACAAAATAATTATTACAGCCTATTTTTTTTACTTTACTTTTGACTAACAGCAACAGGAGATGGATGCAAGATCATTTCATGGACAAAATGTGCATGGTTCATAAGCTGGGGTCATTCCCAATGAAAACATGAGGATCCATTGTAAAACCATTATTTCATTGTTTGTTTATCCTCAAAACTGACTTCAGTCCCAAAGGGTGAAGAGCTGGTCATCAATGAACTAATGTACTTATTCCAAGGCAGGCAAAGACTGAAGCAATACCTGCTAAACCCAAATATACGGGTCTGCAGGGTACTTCATATGTGAAGTGAAAATCTATACAGGGTGAGTCATGCAACCACCAGATCTACCATACATGGTAGCTGGTGGAAATTTTGTCATTTCCACCAGCTAAAATCAGAATTACAAACTCTTAAAAAAAGAACCTGCAGCCCTAACTATAGTGACTGATGTAAATCTGGTTGCTACAACCCATAGATAATCAGATAAACAGATGGTGGGTCCCAGGTACGCCAATAATCAAGTGCCAAAAATGTGATATACACTCTTTTTCACATCAGCAAGCAATCCCTTCTTGATGTTTTACACATAATAGGGGAAAAGACTGATGGCAACATTCTTAGTGATTTTAACTCCGCCAAACATACACATGTTAAGAAAATACATTTAAAATAAGCTAGTTTTAAAACTTAACATGTCTTGATTGAAATCGCCTAATTATAGTTTTAAAATCACTAATGTATTCTGGCCTATTGACCTTTATTTTACCTGTAGTTAAAGCAGATGGTTTGTTAGGATCGTTTGAACTGCCTTTTGTCTGTGTGGGAAACAAATCAATAAGGAGAAGTTCCAACTTTCACACCCATCTGTGGAGAGTCGTAAAGACAGCAGGAGTTCCTGGCTTAGAGAGAGGGTCAGAGACAGGTCCTGGTTGGATGAGCAAAGATACGCCTTATTTGAATAAATTAAAAAAAAGAAGATAAAACTTTCCACAAAGAGTAACAAATCAGATTTTGCTCTTGCAACTTCTCCAAAGACGTCTTTGCTTTTTGTTTGTCATTTCCATCTTTTGTCTTTTTCTCTCTTAGGTAAATCCATGTGTTGTTTGTGCTCTGAGGTTTCTGATGTTTGTGCTTTTCTGGTGATAGTATGCATTTGTCTTGAATAAATGCTGATTATTGTGACGCCGTTATCTCAGTCTTTGCGCACAGCATTTTTCTGAATCCGGGCATAAAAGAGGATATAACGAGTCAAAGGGTTTTTAAAGTTTAAGAATTTTTCCTCTCTTAATAATGTACAAACACAAAAATGCTAGTTTTAGTAATTTGCTTAAATGTACCAGTCATTAATGAATGTTAGTTGTTTATTTTATATTTGGTGAGTTGGAACCATGTCTGATTTATTTTTTTGTCAGAAAAAGTTTTTTTTTATGAATATAGTTTTTGTTTGATTTGTATTTCATTTCTCATAATCACTGTAGAAAACTTAGTGTTTTAGACCCCTTGTAGGGCAATGTTGCCCTGAGGAAACAAACCCAAATCTGGTTCTGGGAGGTGTCAGGGTCCGATTTTATGATTGATATGTAATTAAGGACCACCAAGCTCCCAAAGAATGCAGGAAAATATCCCCCCCCCAAAAGTCATGCCATAGGGCTAATGATCATTCACACACCCACACACATCCTTGTTAACATCCCACCAGAGGCCTGAAAGTAGCTTACTGTTTTGTGGGGTCCACACTTTCTAGTGGTCCTACAACAGTGAAAAAAAAAATCAGGCTAGTCCACACACACACACACACACATGCACACGTATGTGCGTGCGTGCGCGGACACACACAGAAGCACTTGAAATGACCTTTGACCTGCGACCTGGGTGTGTGGTCATTTGTCATTTCTCTGACCTTCATGCTGTAACCTTGGGAAGATTGGTTGATGTTTTCCTCTCTCGAGAATGGACTTCAGATAAGATGATAGATGAAATGACTCTTATAACCAAAAAGAACCACTGCTGGTGTTTTTCTGCCCCATAATAACACACAGTTTTCTGCTTTTATAGAAGATGAACTTGTTTTTTATACAAAGAAAAAAACACATCGAAAATGGATTCAAGAATTTACAATTTCCATCTTTATTTTGAGTTGAAGAAATTTACACCCACTCTTTCAGTAATTTATAACAATAGGTTCCAGTGGTTTTGATCTACAGTAGAAGAGTTATAGTCAGAGTTTAATTTGATCAGAATATTTGCAAAAGAGCTAAATCTTTAAGTGAATGTGATAAGGTATTCTGGATATGCCTGAATGTCGTTGAAAACAATAAACATGGATGGATTATTAGATCTGTCAGTGACGCTGTCATACAGGTCGGCAGCATTGCCAGATTTGGCAGGGGGTGCTATCATGTTAGATCTTCCCGGGGTATAGTCTCCAACCAGAACCCGGGCCTGGTACATGCGCTTGTGACCTTTATTGTCTGGTTGAGCATAATTCCCGGCTGAATATGCAGGGTCCACAGCAAAGTAAGAGCCTTTACCGTACATGGCACCTGTAGGAAATAAAACAGAAGGAGTCATGGATGGTAAAGTAAATACAAGTGTTAAGATCTTTAGAGGTTAAAATATATGAATTGATCTCCGAAAGGCAACAAATAAAAAATAACACTTGAGCACAGTGATGGTTAGAGAAGTTAAAGCTAAACTAGCTTAGGTAGCACGAATACAGCAAACCACACTAACAGAGACAAGACAGAGTTAGACAATGGAAAAGGGTTCCAAATACAGAACCTTGAGGTACAATTTAAAGAAAGGATGCAATGTTGAAACTTTTGTTTTGGAGGACAGAACTCCAAAGGGCCAATCAGAGCCTAAAATTGTTGAACATTTCTGTTTTCACATTTTCATCATGGACTGTCGAGTGTGACAATGTTTACCATGCATTCCCGCGTAGCTCCGGTTGAAGCCTTTAGAGTTGATGAGGTCAATGGAGTTGGCCCCAGTGCCATGATACAGCAGCCTTTCATTGTTGGTGTGTTTGTTCTTTACCTCCATCTGCTTCTTCAGGAGCTGGTAGCTCTGCCACAGCGTCGTATTTTGGATCCGCTCGATCTGCCGACAGTTTAAACCACATGATCATGATTCTGATCAAATCCTAAATCAGTCGATATTAGTCATCTCTCATTAGGGTATGTGGAATAAAATAAAGGAGCAACATGTGTCATGATGTAGCGGTGTGTGGTGGTGAGAGAGAACGCTGAGACCCAGATAATGATGATGATTTAATAAAGAGAAGCTCAAATACAGTCCAGTACAGGCAGCATGGCAGGAACACTAGCACACAGCTAATACCGGTAGCAGCTAAAAAGCAAAAGACTGTATACCAAAGCTAAACCAACACAGGACTTGACAGTTCGACTGTGAAGGCAAGCAGATAAATGACATACGACAACAACTGACAAATCACATCTGTCGAGTCACAAACAACAGGACAGGACGGAACGTATTTGTTCATCTCTTTTACCCAGTAAACACTTGGAGAAAATATGGAAAAAACCATGAGTGAAACAGTGACTGGGCAAGCCTACTACATAATTTACTGGGGGACCACCTCTATATTATTCTACATACACCTTACTCAACAGGAGAGAGCCCACTTTCTCTGGATGTACTCATATATTAAAAACAAATTGAAATGCTCCCTCCCGGGGCCCCCAACCCGGCCCGGGCGACCGCCGACCCCCCTGGATGGTAACTCTCCTTCTCTTCAGTGATTGTAGCTTCTTGGTGCAGCTCCGCGCTCCTGCTACTAGTAGCTTAACTGCATCAGTATAGCGTTACACCGGCTGATGACGTTGTTGTGATTCACTTTGTCTGGTATTTTTGTAGATATGTTTTGGCAGTTCTGTGGTCATATGAATAAACAGACACTA